ACCACTGGACTTTACACCAGCACCTGCTTAGTGATGTTATTTACTGTCATTCTGATATTGTACCCTAACCACTGGACTTTACACCAGCACCTGCTTAGTGATGTTATTTACTGTCATTCTGATATTGTACCCTAACCACTGGACTTTACACCAGCACCTGCTTAGTGATGTTATTTACTGTCATTCTGATATTGTACCCTAACCACTGGACTTTACACCAGCACCTGCTTAGTGATGTTATTTACTGTCATTCTGATAGTGTGCCCTAACCACTGGACTTTACACCAGCACCTGCTTAGTGATGTTATTTACTGTCATTCTGATAGTGTGCCCTAACCACTGGACTTTACATCAGCACCTGCTTAGTGATGTTATTTACTGTCATTCTGATATTGCACCCTAACCACCACTTTTTCTATGCTCTTATTTCATTCTCCACTGTCAGTAACCTAGTTCCGAGCCATACAGTATAGAGACTTCACATATAGCTATAGATCCTGATTGAATTTTTTTGACAAGGCATTTGAATTACACATTGGCTTAGAATGTTAAAACGTGTTTTATCACTGCTGATTCTGATCAGAACGTCATGGGCGGTGCCACTATCATTAAACTGGTTATTACTGCTCCTTTAACCCGTACAATTAGTTCTGCATTTGTTGTTGACTGTGTACGAGAAGGCAGCGCAAAGCTGCGAAATCCAAGACTTCGAGCTGTTGGATTCCAGTTTGCTTCCTCTAGCTTGTTTCATTATCCCATCAACCAGTCGTGTTTCGTTATACCATCAACCAGTCGTGTTTCATCAACCAGTCGTGTTTCATCAACCAGTCGTGTTTCGTTATACCATCAACCAGTCGTGTTTCATCAACCAGTCATGTTTCATTATACCATCAACCAGTCATGTTTCATTATCCCATCAACCAGTCGTGTTTCGTTATACCATCAACCAGTCGTGTTTCATTATACCATCAACCAGTCGTGTTTCATCAACCAGTCATGTTTCATTATACCATCAACCAGTCATGTTTCATTATCCCATCAACCAGTCGTGTTTCGTTATACCATCAACCAGTCGTGTTTCATTATACCATCAACCAGTCGTGTTTCATCAACCAGTCATGTTTCATTATACCATCAACCAGTCATGTTTCATTATACCATCAACCAGTCGTGTTTCGTTATACCATCAAACAGTCGTGTTTCATTATACCATCAACCAGTCGTGTTTCGTTATACCATCAACCAGTCATGTTTCAATATACCATCAACCAGTCGTGTTTCGTTATACCATCAAACAGTCGTGTTTCATTATACCATCAACCAGTCATGTTTCGTTATACCATCAAACAGTCATGTTTCGTTATACCATCAACCAGTCGTGTTTCATTATACCATCAACCAGTCGTGTTTCATCAACCAGTCATGTTTCATTATACCATCAACCAGTCGTGTTTCATCAACCAGTCATGTTTCATTATACCATCAACCAGTCGTGTTTCATTATACCATCAACCAGTCATGTTTCATTATACCATCAACCAGTCATGTTTCGTTATACCATCAACCAGTCGTGTTTCATCAACCAGTCGTGTTTCATCAACCAGTCATGTTTCATCAACCAGTCGTGTTTCGTTATACCATCAACCAGTCGTGTTTCATCAACCAGTCGTGTTTCGTTATACCATCAACCAGTCGTGTTTCATCAACCAGTCGTGTTTCGTTATACCATCAACCAGTCGTGTTTCATTATACCATCAACCAGTCATGTTTCATTATACCATCAAACAGTCATGTTTCATTATACCATCAACCAGTCGTGTTTCATTATACCAGGGGTCTCCTAACTACGGCCCGCGGGCCGGATGCGGCCCGCGAGGTCCTCTCATCCGGCCCGCGGAGATCTTTTTGTCCACGGAAAAAACGTTTGTTGGTGATAGGTGAGGAACTTTGCCCAGAAAAATCAAAGACAGGACTGGAAGAAACTGGCCCCCGAACTGAAATTTGATAGTCAATGCGGCCCTCGGACTGAAAAGTTTGGAGACCCCTGCATTATACCATCAACCAGTCGTGTTTCATTATACCATCAACCAGTCATGTTTCATTATATCATCAACCAGTCATGTTTCATTATACCATCAACCAGTCGTGTTTCATTATACCATCAACCAGTCATGTTTCATTATACCATCAACCAGTCGTGTTTCATTATACCATCAACCAGTCGTGTTTCATTATACCATCAACCAGTCATGTTTCATCAACCAGTCGTGTTTCATTATACCATCAACCAGTCATGTTTCATTATACCATCAACCAGTCGTGTTTCATTATACCATCAACCAGTCATGTTTCATTATACCATCAACCAGTCGTGTTTCATCAACCAGTCATGTTTCATTATACCATCAACCAGTCATGTTTCATTATACCATCAACCAGTCGTGTTTCATTATACCATCAACCAGTCGTGTTTCGTTATACCATCAACCAGTCGTGTTTCATCAACCAGTCGTGTTTCATCAACCAGTCATGTTTCATCAACCAGTCGTGTTTCGTTATACCATCAACCAGTCGTGTTTCATCAACCAGTCGTGTTTCGTTATACCATCAACCAGTCGTGTTTCATCAACCAGTCGTGTTTCGTTATACCATCAACCAGTCGTGTTTCATTATACCATCAACCAGTCATGTTTCATTATACCATCAAACAGTCATGTTTCATTATACCATCAACCAGTCGTGTTTCATTATACCAGGGGTCTCCTAACTACGGCCCGCGGGCCGGATGCGGCCCGCGAGGTCCTCTCATCCGGCCCGCGGAGATCTTTTTGTCCACGGAAAAAACGTTTGTTGGTGATAGGTGAGGAACTTTGCCCAGAAAAATCAAAGACAGGACTGGAAGAAACTGGCCCCCGAACTGAAATTTGATAGTCAATGCGGCCCTCGGACTGAAAAGTTTGGAGACCCCTGCATTATACCATCAACCAGTCGTGTTTCATTATACCATCAACCAGTCATGTTTCATTATATCATCAACCAGTCATGTTTCATTATACCATCAACCAGTCGTGTTTCATTATACCATCAACCAGTCATGTTTCATTATACCATCAACCAGTCGTGTTTCATTATACCATCAACCAGTCGTGTTTCATTATACCATCAACCAGTCATGTTTCATCAACCAGTCGTGTTTCATTATACCATCAACCAGTCATGTTTCATTATACCATCAACCAGTCGTGTTTCATTATACCATCAACCAGTCATGTTTCATTATACCATCAACCAGTCGTGTTTCATCAACCAGTCATGTTTCATTATACCATCAACCAGTCATGTTTCATTATACCATCAACCAGTCGTGTTTCATTATACCATCAACCAGTCGTGTTTCGTTATACCATCAACCAGTCGTGTTTCATTATACCATCAACCAGTCATGTTTCATTATACCATTAACCAGTCATGTTTCATTATACCATCAACCAGTCATGTTTCATTATACCATCAACCAGTCATGTTTCATTATACCATCAACCAGTCATGTTTCATTATACCATCAACCAGTCATGTTTCATTATACCATCAACCAGTCGTGTTTCATCAACCAGTCGTGTTTCATTATACCATCAACCAGTCGTGTTTCATCAACCAGTCATGTTTCATTATACCATCAACCAGTCGTGTTTCATTATACCATCAACCAGTCGTGTTTCATCAACCAGTCATGTTTCATTATACCATCACCAGGCATGTTTCATTATACCATCAACCAGTCATGTTTCATTATACCATCAACCAGTCGTGTTTCGTTATACCATCAACCAGTCATGTTTCATTATACCATCAACCAGTCGTTTTTCATTATACCATCAACCAGTCATGTTTCATTATACCATCAACCAGTCGTGTTTCGTTATACCATCAACCAGTCGTGTTTCGTTATACCATCAACCAGTCATGTTTCATTATACCATCAACCAGTCGTGTTTCATTATACCATCAACCAGTCATGTTTCATTATACCATCAACCAGTCGTGTTTCGTTATACCATCAACCAGTCGTGTTTCGTTATACCATCAACCAGTCGTGTTTCATCAACCAGTCATGTTTCATTATACCATCAACCAGTCATGTTTCATTATACCATCAACCAGTCGTGTTTCATTATACCATCAACCAGTCATGTTTCATTATACCATCAACCAGTCGTGTTTCATCAACCAGTCATGTTTCATTATACCATCAACCAGTCGTGTTTCGTTATACCATCAACCAGTCGTGTTTCGTTATACCATCAACCAGTCGTATTTCGTTATACAATCAACCAGTCAACGAAATATCAATGCGTACAATAAATGTTTCTGCTAAGTTAATCTTGTATGTCACTTGTATGACCTTATTCCAACAAACTTATGATCCATCTATGTACCATATCACAAAAGAAACTGTTACAAAAGGGAGAACATAAAAGGCTGGTCTAAAGAAATTAGCGCTTGCTACAAACTACCCTCTTAACTAAGATCAGGCATTTTTTTTTCTTACATTTTTAATCTTTTGTAAAAAGAAAACGCATCTTAATGAGAATTTAATTGGCGTCGGGTTAAGTTTTAATGAACGAAAATCATACACCGTAATTATGAAACTTTTCCCGGACCGTCGCACACACGCTTTTACACACACACACTCACACACACACACATTTATATATATATATATATATATATATATATATATATATATATATATATATATATATATATATATATATATATATATATATATATATATATATATATATATATACGAGGGAGCGCCAAATTGAATGTTCGCCCCGGGTGCAGGGAAGGGTCGCTACGTCTCTGTCGGGGACCCTTTTGTCAGGGTTAATATCTCTTTACTCAATTATTTTAATTGTGTAACTATTCCTCACCAATTTATTACATAAAATCCAGCATCCTTTATACAACAAAGCCCGTTTTTTCTTCCGTTTTAGGTTTGGTGCCAAACGTGTGGTTGTGATCGGGCTGATTTTTACTTCAATTTTCCAACTGCTAGCTGTTCCGGCAGCTTATTTTGATGTTGCCTGGTTGTATGCAGATCGAGTATTGGCAGGGGCAATAGATGTTAGTAAACTAGCAGCAAAATGCAGTTTAGTCTGTGCTAAAATTAAAGTAGAACCCCACTCCCACGTCATGTTGGTATTTAAACACCACCCCCACATGTTGGTACCTAGACCCCGACATGTTGGTACCTAGACCCCCACCCCCACATGTTGGTACCTAGACCCCACCCCCACATGTTGGTATCTAGACCCCACCCCCACATGTTGGTACCTAGACCCCCACCCCCACATGTTGGTACTTAGACCCCACCCCCACATGTTGGTACCTAGACCCCCACCCCCACATGTTGGTATCTAGACCCCACCCCCACATGTTGGTACCTAGACCCCCACCCCCACATGTTGGTACTTAGACCCCACCCCCACATGTTGGTACCTAGACCCCACCCCCACATGTTGGTATCTAGACCCCACCCCCACATGTTGGTACCTAGACCCCCACCCCCACATGTTGGTACTTAGACCCCACCCCCACATGTTGGTACCTAGACCCCCACCCCCACATGTTGGTACCTAGACCCCACCCCCACATGTTGGTACTTAGACCCCCACCCCCACATATTGGTACCTAGACCCCCACCCCCACATATTGGTACCTAGACCCCCACCCCCACATGTTGGTACTTAGACCCCACCCCCACATGTTGGTACCTAGACCCCCACCCCCACATGTTGGTACTTAGACCCCCACCCCCACATATTGGTACCTAGACCCCACCCCCACATGTTGGTACTTAGACCCCACCCCCACATGTTGGTACCTAGACCCCCACCCCCACATGTTGGTACTTAGACCCCACCCCCACATGTTGGTACTTAGACCCCCACCCCCACATGTTGGTACCTAGACCCCACCCCCACATGTTGGTACTTAGACCCCCACCCCCACATGTTGGTACCTAGACCCCACCCCCACATGTTGGTACCTAGACCCCCACATGTTGGTACCTAGACCCCACCCCCACATGTTGGTACCTAGACCCCACCCCCACATGTTGGTACCTAGACCCCACCCCCACATGTTGGTACCTAGACCCCACCCCCACATGTTGGTACCTAGACCCCCACATGTTGGTACCTAGACCCCACCCCCACATGTTGGTACCTAGACCCCCACCCCCACATGTTGGTATCTAGACCCCACCCCCACATGTTGGTACCTAGACTCCACCCCCACATGTTGGTACTTAGACCCCACCCCCACATGTTGGTACTTAGACCCCCACCCCCACATGTTGGTACCTAGACCCCACCCCCACATGTTGGTACCTAGACCCCACCCCCACATGTTGGTATCTAGACCCCACCCCCACATGTTGGTACCTAGACCCCCACATGTTGGTACCTAGACCCCCACATGTTGGTACCTAGACCCCACCCCCACATGTTGGTACCTAGACCCCACCCCCACATGTTGGTACCTAGACCCCACCCCCACATGTTGGTACCTAGACCCCACCCCCACATATTGGTACCTAGACCCCCACCCCCACATGTTGGTACTTAGACCCCACCCCCACATGTTGGTACCTAGACCCCCACCCCCACATGTTGGTACTTAGACCCCACCCCCACATGTTGGTACCTAGACCCCCACCCCCACATGTTGGTACTTAGACCCCCACCCCCACATATTGGTACCTAGACCCCCACCCCCACATGTTGGTACTTAGACCCCACCCCCACATGTTGGTACCTAGACCCCACCCCCACATGTTGGTACCTAGACCCCACCCCCACATATTGGTATCTAGACCCCACCCCCACATGTTGGTACCTAGACCCCACCCCCCCCCTTTTGGTATCTAGACCCCACCCCCACATGTTGGTACCTAGACCCCACCCCCACATGTTGGTACCTAGACTCCACCCCCACATGTTGGTACTTAGACCCCACCCCCACATGTTGGTACCTAGACCCCACCCCCACATATTGGTACCTAGACCCCCACCCCCGGAATATAGGTACCTAGACCCTTTTTCTCACGAGTTTGTGTCTAGAAGTTGAAAAAAAAGTAATTTTAATTTCATTGTGTTCTGTTTCCCCACGGCCTCCTGGTAGGGCCTGCTGTATGCCCCAACATTTGCTCTAGTGGGTCAGTGGACACCAAGACATGAGACGAGCTTGCTCTTTGGAATTGTTGGAATGGGTAAGTCGAGATGGCATGAACGACGTCTCATGTTACCTTGTAAGTCGAGATGGCATGAACGTCTCATGTTACCTTGTAATTCAAGATGGCATGAACGTCTCATGTTACCTTGTAAGTCGAGATGGCATGAACGTCTCATGTTACCTTGTAAGTCGAGATGGCATGAACGTCTCTGGGTAAGTCGAGATGGCATGAACGTCTCATGTGACTTTGTAAGTCGAGATGGCATGAACGTCTCTGGGTAAGTCGAGATGGCATGAACGTCTCATGTGACTTTGTAAGTCGAGATGGCATGAACGTCTCATGTGACCTTGTAAGTCGAGATGGCATGAACGTCTCATGTGACTTTTTGGTTCCTGTGTTAATGTTAGCGGTATCTGAAACAATCAAACGGTGATGGCCATGGTTCAACCTTTTTATTCAGCTGCGCATAAAATGAGTTGTAGTCAATAAAATAGAATTACTCACATTGACATTATATGTCCCTAATAACCACATTATTCAATGACTTGAGAGTTCAGTTTTAACATGTATTTTTCACGACAATTGTTAGTACCAGACAGTTTTCGATCGTTTTTCTAATCGTACTGTTTATCTCACTGTTTATCTCACTGTTTATCTCACTGTTTATCTTACTGTTTCTCTCACTGTTTATCTCACTGTTTATCTTACTGTTTCTCTTACTAATAATTTCAGGCATGGAGTTGGGTGATATGTGTGCCTATGTTGTTTCCCTTTACTCGTGTGAGATTCCCATCCAGGGTGGTTGGCCTTTTGTCTTCTACACACTCTGTAAGTAAAGTTGCTCCCATTATGTTCTCTCTCTCACTCACACTGTAAATAGTCTTGTCAAGTCAAGTACTCTATCTGGGCATATGAAGTTGAGTACACCGGTCACACTGACTTCGGCAAAAGAAGGGATAGTATGGTCAGCACTTTGCCCAGCAGCCTGTACGGCTGTGTGAGGTACCCGTCATAACGTGAGTGAGGTACCCATCATAACGTGAGTGAGGTACCCATCATAACGTGAATGAGTGAGGTACCCATCATAACGTGAGTGAGGTACCCATCATAACGTGAGTGAGTGAGGTACCCATCATAACGTGAGTGAGGTACCCATCATAACGTGAGTGAGGTACCCATCATAACGTGAGTGAGGTACCCATCATAACGTGAGTGAGGTACCCATCATAACGTGAATGAGTGAGGTACCCATCATAACGTGAGTGAGGTACCCATCATAACGTGAGTGAGTGAGGTACCCATCGTAAAATGAGTTAGGTACCTATCAGAGCTGGACGAACTCCTTTATGTATGCCTCACTTACACAATGTGTAAATATTTTTTTCTCTTAATATTTTTTTTCATTTTTGATAGTAGTGTAGTAAAAAAAAGAATCCCTACAGTAGTGTAGTAAAAAAGAATGGTTAAATACATTTTTAAATGCGCAAAATGAGCTTACATGTAATGACCTTACTTCCAGCCGGAATGGGCCTTTTGATATCTGCTTTATTCATCGTGTTTGTCACCGACTCGCCATTCGACAATGCTCTGATATCAGAAAAAGAAATTCAATTTATTGCCCAGTCAGTGCCAAGAGCCGGAAACAAATCTAAAGAAGCTTTGGTAATTATAAAATTATATTATTGATATGTATTAGCAAGGAAATCATTCTCTGCCTTTTTTCCCACGTTTTCTTTAACTTGCTTTCGCGTCTGTTTTTCCAATCAAATCTTGCGATCGAAATTTCGGGCACTTCCCAGTTAGCTAGCGCGCTGAAATTTTCAGGGAAGCTTTGTTTCCGATGACAATACAATATTCAATTGTTATTATTACTAAATTGATCCATGGAAACATTTTATTGATCATTTTAGACCGCTATATATTTCTACAAAAAAACGTGGGGAAAAGGGGACATAACCCAGTAATTGTAATTTGATGAAAACAAGGTTCGGTACTCTCCCTCTTTTGGCTTACTGAGTAGTGTTCACGTGGTGTTTGTGTACAAACAACCGGAACAGCTGGTGGCCAGTATGGGGGAGACGATATGGTCGAGTGGTTGGGCACACGATTGCTAACCCACTCGACACGGGTTCAAGGCACGTGTTTTTTTACGAGTTGTCTTCGTTTACCCCAAAAAAAAAGTGAATGCGAAAAGATAAAATCGATAGCAAGATTTTAATGCAAACAAACAGACAAAGACTAAAAAGTAGAAAATAATTATCATTAAAAAAGTTTTTAAAAACCCACGTTTTCTGATTGAACTAAAAAGTAGAAAATAAATGCTATACATCACAATAATGCAAGCGATCACTCTACTATAAGCGATGAAAAACGTGGGGCGCCGTGATTTTCTTACAGTTTCTAATACTGTTGACTCTTTACAAGCTCCCTAATAAAAGTCAATAGTATTATCTAATCAATAGTAATATATATATATAGTAACTCGGCGCCCCACGTTTTTCATCGCTTATAGTAGAGTGATCGCTTGCATTATTGTGATGTATAGCATTTATTTTCTACTTTTTAGTTCAATCAGAAAACGTGGGTTTTTTTAAACTTTTTTTAATGATAATTATTTGTCAATGTGTAAACTTTTAGTGAATGTTTCCAAACTTTATTTTGAGTCCTAGAGTGGATTATGGCTCTAAATCTCAGAACATAAACCCCGCTCTATTTGAGGTATTAGGCCTACTGTATTAGGCCTACTGTATTCTACTGCTATTAAAGAACATAAACCCCACTCTATTTGGGGTATTAGGCCTACTGTATTAGGCCTACTGTATTCTACTGCTATCTAAGAACATAAACCCCACTCTATTTGGGGTATTAGGCCTACTGTATTAGGCCTACTGTATTCTACTCCTATCTAAGAACATAAACCCGACTCTATTTGAGGTATTAGGCCTACTCGGCCTCAGTGTTTCTTCCAGACTTTTTTCTCCGGGGGGGGGGGGGGGCACTTGAAATTTTCGGGGGGCGGTAAACTTTCTTCGGGGGGGGCGGACATTGTTAAAAGTATATATTTTCTATATAAATTATATAAATTTCATTTCGTTCGGGGGGGGGGGGCGGTAAAAAATTTTCGGGGGGGGGGCTTCGCCCCCCCCCCCCCCCGAAGAGATGCCTGGAAGAAACTCTGCTCGGCCTACTGTATTCTACTGGCTTGCAGTACCCGGTCACTCACGAAGATAGCCCTAGACTAATTACTCATTTATTTTTTTAAAATTTCTTTTATGAAACTTTCAATCTAAATGTCTTTATATTTTGTTTTAAAATTTGTTTTTACTTTTTTCTTTCATAACCAATAAAAATCAATCTCAGAGCTCCATACCCGTGAAAGAAATCCTCAAGTCCATGCCAGTTTGGGCTATTGTTGTATCGCAAATCGGATCAGACTGGATGTATTATTTCATGGTCACCGTTTCACCCACCTTTTTAAAAGATGTTATCAGGTTATCAAGTTTTGAGGTAGGCTCATTTCTAATCCATCAATCAATGCATGATCATCAATAATAGTCAATACCCCTTAAATAGTAGATGTTTATAATTTATTAATTATATGGATGTATTATGTATCATTATTATTGGCCCTCAAATTTAATGAACCCTGTAACACATATCAAACTAAATGTAACCACTTGCTATGTGTGTGTATGCTATTTATAACCAGCATAGAAATTGTTAAGGTTAAAACAAACTACCATCAAGTAAAGGGATTAAAGAAACCTTACCCTAACCATCCACCTGTGGTAGTAATATATGAACTGAAGGAACTTACTGGGGCATGGCAGAAAACAAATTTATTTTATTTTCTCATACATTATGAAAACTAAAATTAAAAAAGCAGGAAATCAAAGCACACATTTTTGATGATTTTGGGTTCGAGCACCACATTAGAAAGAAAAATGTTCATTACTCCTGTGATTCCTCAGTAGAATAAATAAGCTGTTAATATTTTTACATTTTTAAGAAGAATATAAATGTTCTATCACCATAATGAAATTGATATGACAATCTTACAGGTTTATTTTCTTATTATTCAAAATTTAAAATATTTTGCTCCTGTTCATCATCATCAATTCTGTGGACCTCTTATGGAGCATAGGGATGCAACCACACCTCTCCATTGTTGGTCCTATTCAGTTCTAGGCTATTGATCCAAGATGGGCCCACAACATTTGGGCTGCTTTTGCTTTACTGTCAGCTGACTTTTTCCATGTTTGTTTTTACCCACTTACTTTACTCTTTCCTTGGTGACTGAGTCTGGTGCCAGTCTGGTGATGTTGCTAGTTTGTTACGCAAGGTGCGTCCAATCCATCCCTCTCAGCATTTCAATATTTATTTTGCCAATAGGGTTCTGCCCAGTTTTTCTCCACAGTTCGGCAGTGGTCTTTTTTTTTTCAGGCTACCTGATGTTTGATCTGGGTCGAGGGCATCTTCTATTTCTATTGGATTTAACTATCTGCTTCCCCTCACAAATGTTCCTGAATAGTCTATATTAGATTTTAATTTTAGTAGATAGGTCCTAAACTGTTAGATTTTATTTTAGTACTAGCATACCCGTCCCCACGCGTTACCGCGGGATATAAGAAAGTCTGATGAAATATATAAGAAGGGTTTCATGAATGCTTTACCAATCCTATGTTTTTAATCCTATGTGACCTTGTTTTCTAAAACTGTGTTATTTAGATGTAAACAATGCCTGCCATTGGATCATAAATATCGGGACACTTGTTTACCTACACTACCGCATTGAAAACCTTGAGTGTACATTAATCACTCACCAAAATAATGAGGTAGAACACACTTTGGTGACCTCCCATATGTCAGGGACGTAGAGGGGCGCTCTTGGGAGCCCCTGATTACACTACAGCAAAGGTGCCATAGTGCTTGCCTTGGCGCTTTAATGCTGAATATAGTAGTATCCCTTACCCGCTATGCAGGCTGAACGATTAATGGATGCCAAGTGCTAACATAGCCGCTCTGAAACTCTGGGCGCCAAATTGTGTATTGACGAAAATCGCACCCTTCCGGGCGCCGCTCATATCAAATTTTAATTAATTTGTTAACAGAAACCTTCCCGGGAGTATTCTCATAAACTCTTTTAAGTTTGATAGCACTCTGATGAAAAGTGTCGAACCGCCATTGACTTTCATTTTTTTAAAATATACCGTTATAGAGCAGAATTGCACCCTCCCGTGCGCCACCCTTGCGAAATTAAAAAATATTGTTTTACAGAAACCTCCCCTGGAGTGTTCTAATCAGCTCCCCAAAGTTTCATAGCACTCGGGTGAATGGTGTCAGACCACAATCGACTTTTTTTTATATACGTATATAGAGAAAAATCACACCCTCCCGTGGCGCCGCCCTTGCAAAATTAAAAACAGATTTTTTTTTTCAGGACCCTTCCCTCTAGTGTTCTAATCAACTCCCCAAAGTTTCATAGTGATCAGATAAATGGTGTCAAACCGCAATCGACTTTTATTTTTATATACCGTATTTAGAGAAAAAACACGTTCCCTGCCGGGTCGCCACCCGAATTTGAAAATGTTTTTTTGTGCAGAATCCTCCCCAGAAGTAATCTAAACATCTTTCCAATATTTCGTGGCGATCATGTGAACGGTGTCACTGCAATTCACTTTTATTATTTTTATATACTGTATATAGAGAAAAATCAAGCACCCTCCCGTGGCACCGCCCTTGCGAAATAAAAAAAAAGATTTTTTTGCAGAACCCTTCCTTGGAGTGTTCTAATCAACTCACCCAAGTTTGATGGCGATCAGATGAACGGAGTGAAACAGCAATGGATTTTTTTTTTATACAGCGTATATAGAAAAAAAAACTGCTCCCTTCCTGGGGCCACAGTACGAATTTACAAAAAAATGTTCGCAGAAACATCCACAGGAATATTCTCAACAACTTCCCAAAGTTTCACGCCGATCTGATGATAGGTGTGGTAATGCATAAAAGACAGACGGACACACACACACAGACATACATTGCCTTTTATATATACAAAGAATTGAAATAATGATGCAATGTCTAATATACAAAGGTCAAATATTTAAGTTCTTATAAGGACCTATATAGTTATTTCTGCTTACAGTTACATGATTCTCTAAATAATAAGACAAAAACAAACAAAAAATTTTTTTTCAATTTTGAGTCAGAAATAATTTTCAACTCCTTTGTTAATATTATTAATAATTTAATGTAATTTTTATGTTATGTGTTTTTGACAAAATTGAAATAATTATATATAAATCTGACAATGTGAAACAACTTACTAAATGCTCACTAAAAAATTGGTAAAAAACAGAATTACATTTTTTAAACTATATATAGTCCATGTCTAGAGACCAATAGTCCATGTCTAGAGACCAATAGTCCATGTCTAGAGACCAATAGTCCATGTCTAGAGACCAATAGTCCATGTCTAGAGACCAATAGTCCATGTCTAGAGACCAATAGTCCATGTCTAGAGACCAATGCTTATACATTTTATATTTGAGCACCTGGGAATCAACTAAAGAGAATAAATAAAACATATTTAAAACATATGGATAGTATACGTGCTGAGTTTCTTTAAAACATATGGATAGTCTACATGCAGAAATTCTTTAAAACATACGGTTAATCTACATGCTAAGTTTTTTTTTAAACATATGGATAGTCTACATGCAGAGTTTCTTTCAGTCTTTCTAGCATTGCCTGGTGTGTGTGGTGGGAGGGGGGGGGGCAATGTTCCCAAGCATATCCACCCCTTCCTGATGAAAAATAAAACACTTTTAGACACCCCCTCCCCCCTCCAAGAAACATATTTTAGTGAAACACCCTGGCCCAGATTTGGACATTTACACTCAGAAATTTTACACTAAAAAATCAATCAGAAGAAATATATTCTTAGAACTATACCTATTAGATTAACTTAAGAAGACATATTTAATCTGCCATCTGTGGTTGAAATTACTCTATAGGCCACACCTTTACCATCCATCAGCAATATTTTTTTTTATAACCTCACCTAATTTACCTTAATAGAAATAAAAAATTGCAAATATAATTCAAATGTAAATATTAAGAGCCATAAATGTTATTGCTAGACATGGAAACTACTTGGATCAGTGTTAGGCTAGATATCTTTAAAAAGTGTTTAAAAAACATATCTGTATTTGAAGCTGACTTATGCGCACTAACATACCACCATTGCACAGTCAAGAATATCTTCAGTAAATGAAATTTATTTTTCTATTTTAATTCCCCAGATTAATCTTCTATCTGGTTTACCATTTCTTGGCATTATTCCCACTATCTACTTATCTGGCTACCTGAGTGATAAAATAGTTGCTAAAGGCATTTTTTCAAACACAACTATAAGGAAAATCAATGATGGAGTTTGTGAGTATTAGAATTAATACTCGTAATTGTTTTTATGAGCTAAAACAGTAAACACAACTATAGTGTTAGCAATAATATTTCTTGGTGAGGATTAACTCTAATCAATAATTCTAATTTAAGCAGTTTTAATTTTAAGCAGTTAACAATTAATTAATTGAATCTAGGCCTAATTAGTTATTAATTATAAACCAAATAATATATCACTTGTTTGAGTTTTATAGAAATACCACATATCTAAAAGGTCCTATATTTTTAAAGGCTGTAGCCTAGGTCACTACCAATAACATTCTTAGGAATATTCGTAAACTGACCAATCTCACCTTAACCCTAATGCATTGTCTAACCCTAACCCTAAATGTGTAAATGTGGTGATAAGAAATGTATGAAAGGTGTGTTTGTAGAACAAAGTACTGTAAACTGTGTGTGTGTGTACACCCTTACTATTGTTGTATTGCTAGACAGTGTCAAGTTTGACTGGGTTGTGGGTGATGTGTGTTTTGTCCTACGGAGTGAAAGAGGGTAACAAGAGGGTGACTGATCGAGTGTTGTCAGCAGGAGTAAAGAGGAGTATTGTAGTAGTGTAGGTAGGCAGCAGTCAAGGGTTGTTATGAAATAATGAATAAATGTATTGACGTTGTCACTGAGAAATAGTTGATATTAAACCCATTTGATGCAACTAATGACTTGTGTCTACTAAGGTCTTGATACTAACCCTAACCCTTCACTAACCTTAAAAAAAGTTTTAAACTCAGTACTCACTAAGTAAAATTTAAAAAAAAAAGAGCAAAATAAAAACTAAGGACCAAGGAAAATGGAATAAATGATAGATCTAGTTTTAAAAATATATTCTATCATAGGTCCTATCTTTTGGAAAGACATGATGCTACAAAATATATTCTATCATAGGTCCTATCTTTGGGAAACACATGATGCTACAAAATAAATTGTTTGTTTAGGTAAACTGGTTCCAGCCGCAGCCTTAATTGCCATGGGATTTTTGCCTGAAGGATCAACTGCTGCATCTTTTGTACTCAATACTGTGGGAGCTATGGCTCTAGGATTCTGTTATGTCAGTTGGATGGCCAACCCTGTAGATCTAGCACCAGCGTATACAGGCTTCATTGTTGGCGTCTGCGAGGTCAGTACTTTCATCTTGTGACATTGATAAAATGTTTACATTATGTCTGTGGTGTCTGTTGTTTCATACAGTCTTTGTTAGAAAAAATCAAACAGTCTGTGATTGACAAATATTTTCCCTGTCAGGTAGGAGCTGTTTGGGTTGCTATAGTTGTACCAATCCTGGTTGACACCATCACAGAAGATGTAAGTATGTAGGTCTTTGTGAGATTATCTAAGTATGTAGGTCTATATGAGATTATCTAAGTATGTAGGTCTATATTAGATTATCTAAGTATGTAGGTCTATGTGAGATTATCTAAGTATGTAGGTCTATGTGAGATTATCTAAGTATGTAGGTCTATATGAGTATGAGATTATTTAAGTATGTAGGTCTATTTGAGATTATCTAAGTATGTAGGTCTATTTGAGATTATCTAAGTATGTAGGTCTATATGAGATTATCTTTAAAACTTTTGCAAGCCTTTATGTAAAACAAGTGTAGTAAACAAAAATCAGTGACTGCCGTAGCTGTGCTGGTTTTATCTAACCATAAAAAATTCACACTAATAGGCTTGAAAAGTCTATGTAATCATACTAAATTTTTAAAAATCTTTTTAAAATATGGCAAGCGATAAAATTATAATTTAATTTTTTAAAATTAAAGCTGTTTGTGGACCATAGATTACAGTCATTTTCATATTTTTGTATTAAATATGAGCTGATGAAAAGCCGTTTTGAATTATTTTATCGGTTCAAAATTTAAATAAACCGGGAGTGATCTCCCCAAAACTTTCTCGAATATTCTTATATAAAATAACAGGGTATGGGAACTCGGGCTATAGACATGATTTTTAATCCATTTTAAATACTTAAAGTTTTTAAAATAGAATAAAATCTCGTAGACAAATTAATTGCACAACAAGTGAACGCCAAATAAAAAAGCGCATAATAGTGCGCAATATTATTAGTACTTTTAAAATTTACATTAGTTTTTTGAGAAATCGGAAGTAGCGTAAATTACTACTTCCGGTCAACGGAAATTACTCAAAATTTAACAGAAGGTAGAGAATTAGATGTTTTACTTACATGTGAAATTTCATTTATCTATCTGAAATAGTACTCAAGTTATAGGCTTTTGAAAAATTCAAAGTAGAAAAAGTACCACGGAAATCGCTCAAAAGTTGATACGGATCTACGATTTTGATAAAATACTTATATATGAAATTTCATCAACCTAGCCTGAACGGTACTCAAGTAATCGTGTTTACACACGGACAGACAGACAGACAGACACACACACACACAGACACACAGACATACGGACAAGATTGCAAAATTATGTTTTTCCGTATCAGTAAGATGTAAAACGTCGAGATTTGTAAAAATCTCGATTTTTTTTTTTTGCACGATTACAAGACTTTCTCTATACTTCGTATATACGAGAAAGTAAAAAAACCAACTTCATCCGCCCAGGGGGCAACCAGAAGAGGAGCTTTACTACTTTAATCAAAATCAAATTAGCTACTAAAAATAATTTAAAACGTCAATTTAAAAACAATTGGGGATAAACTAGTCAATCAGGTGAGTCTACTAAAGCTATCAGTGGCTATGTAGATGGCTGGGTCAGTGGCTTGATTAGCTATGTAGATGGTGGGGTCAGTGGCTTTAGCTATGTAGATGGTGGGGTCAGTGGCTTGATTAGCTATGTAGATGGCTGGGTCAGTGGCTTGATTAGCTATGTAGATGGCTGGGCCAGTGGTTTGATTAGCTATGTAGATGGTGGGGTCAGTGGCTTGATTAGCTATGTAGATGGCTGGGTCAGTGGCTTGATTAGCTATGTAGATGGCTGGGTCAGCTCCAAGGTCAGTGGCTTGATTAGCTATGTAGATGGTGGGGCCAGTGGCTTTAGCTATGTAGATGGCTGGGTCAGTGGCTTGATTAGCTATGTAGATGGCTGGGTCAGTGGCTTGATTAGCTATGTAGATGGTGGGGTCAGTGGCTTTAGCTATGTAGATGGTGGGGTCAGTGGCTTTAGCTATGTAGATGGTGGGGCCAGTGGCTTTAGCTATGTAGATGGCTGGGGTCAGTGGCTTGATTAGCTATGTAGATGGTGGGGCCAGTGGCTTGATTAGCTATGTAGATGGTGGGGTCAGTGGCTTGATTAGCTATGTAGATGGTGGGGCCAGTGGCTTTAGCTATGTAGATGGCTGGGGTCAGTGGCTTGATTAGCTATGTAGATGGCTGGGTCAGTGGCTTGATTAGCTATGTAGATGGTGGGGTCAGTGGCTTGATTAGCTATGTAGATGGCTGGGCCAGTGGCTTGATTAGCTGTGTAGATGGTGGGGTCAGTGGCTTGATTAGCTATGTAGATGGCTGGGCCAGTGGCTTGATTAGCTATGTAGATGGCTGGGTCAGTGGCTTGATTAGCTATGTAGATGGTGGGGTCAGTGGCTTTAGCTATGTAGATGGCTGGGTCAGTGGCTTGATTAGCTATGTAGATGGCTGGGTCAGTGGCTTGATTAGCTATGTAGATGGCTGGGCCAGTGGCTTGATTAGCTATGTAGATGGCTGGGTCAGTGGCTTGATTAGCTATGTAGATGGCTGGGTCAGTGGCTTGATTAGCTATGTAGATGGCTGGGTCAGTGGCTTGATTAGCTATGTAGATGGTGAGGTCAGTGGCTTGATTAGCTATGTAGATGGCTGGGTCAGTGGCTTGATTAGCTATGTAGATGGTGGGGTCAGTGGCTTTAGCTATGTAGATGGTGGGGCCAGTGGCTTGATTAGCTATGTAGATGGTGGGGTCAGTGGCTTGATTAGCTATGTAGATGGTGGGGTCAGTGGCTTGATTAGCTGTGTAGATGGTGGGGTCAGTGGCTTGATTAGCTATGTAGATGGCTGGGTCAGTGGCTTGATTAGCTGGTGCCCTGTCAAAACGGCCCGGGACAAATCGGCCCCGTCAAAACGGCCCCGTTAATACGACCCCGTCAAATAAACTCCCGACAAACCGACCCCGTCAAAATAGCCCCGTCAAAAGGGCCCCGACTTATTGGCTCCCGTCAAATGGGCTCCCGTCATATTGACTTGCGACATATAGGCTCCCGACAAATGGGCTCCCGATATTTAGGCTCCCGACAAATGGACTCCCGACATATTAACCCCTGACAAATAGGCTCAGGACATATTGGCTCCCGACAAAGCGGCTCAAGACAAATGGGCTCCCGGCAAATGGGCTCACGACATTTTGGCTACCGACAAATGGGCTCCCGACATATTGGCTCCCGGCAATTGGGCTCCCGACATATTGGCTTTTGACAAAATGACTCCCGACATATTGGCTCCAGAAAAATGAATGATATGACCACTATTGGCATAAAAGTAACCATTGTGTCCTACCTCCAATACCACCATAACCTCTTTTTAATGCCCGAATGAAATTATTTTTTCATGAACCAACATTAATTCACAAACAAATCGAGCCCTTAACAGCTAAATTACACCAATTCTAAAGTTTTGATAATGTTTAATTTACAACAGAAAAGATCTGTTGCTTAAAAGCGAGCACAGAAGTGTAAATGTATGATATACATGATGTTAACATGATAACAGCATTTTGTTTTGATAACCTACAAGCACAGTGGCGTAGCGAGGTCGGGTGTCACCCCCGGGGACAAACTTTCAAGTTTTCGATTTGCACCCCCCCCCCCCCCCAAACTTTCGATGTGCACCCCCACCCCCTCAACTTTTTCTCTATATATTTTGCTATTTTTTGCCTTGGTGTCACCCCCCTAAATGGTGTCACCCGGTGCGGTCCGCACCCCGCCCCCCCCCCCTCGCTACGCCCCTGTACAAGCATATTGCAGTTAGGAAGGTACAGCGTGGACCCTTCTCCCCACACAATGAGTTGGAACAGCCTATAACCGACTCAATTATGGATGTCATAGATAGATGACCCTTAAATTAAAACATACAATATTTTATAATAGATAAACTAATATAAAAATATGGCCTGCCGAACAAGAGATGCATACGTTGTATTACATAAGAGTGTTGGATAAGCTAACTCTAAAGAATATTGATGAAGGGGTCCCACTGGCAGATGTCATATTCAATGAGACCGCTTTGCCGGGAGACTTAGTCTCTACAGAAACGGTATTGTCAGTGCAGTGGCGTAGCTAGGATTTTTGGGCCCCTATGCAAAAAT